GGGGCTTCATTACCTCAGGTCAACACTGTCAGAATTTTCCCCTTCCCAACTTGTCTCCATCTTTTTATTTTTTTAAAGATTTTATTTATTGTGTATACAACATTCTGCTTCCATGTATATCTGCACACCAGAAGAGGGCACCAGACCTCAGAACGTATGGTTGTGAGCCACCATGTGTTTGCTGGGAATTGAACTCAGGACCTCTGGAAGAGCAGTCGGTGCTCTTAACCTCTGAGCCATCTCTCCAGGCCCTGTCTCCATCTTTCATATACTTATCATATCAGTATCATCATGAAGTTATGATGTCACGTGCATGCTCAATGCCTTTAGTGACTCCTAGAGGCTCAAGTCTAAAGCCTGTGGTACGTGGCACTCAATCATGCCTTCCAGCTGGATCTTTTAGATCCATCTCCCCCTACCAGGCCTCTTCCACTTGTGCTCCTGGTTCCTCTCAACTAACTATTGGACATCTCAACTCTTCCTCACCACAGTGCCTCACATAAAACTCCCATGCCTGAAATGTCCTTAGACAAATTTGCTCACACCTCTAGAGTGAGTCTCACTTCTGTAAACAGTGGGACCCCTTTTGTCAGCTGTTCTGAAATCCAGTGGCACTTTCTTTCTTCCTTTTTGCCTTTGTGCTGTTCCTTCTCCTTTCACAGAGGCATGACTAACTCCATCTCTAAATGCTTCCCTGAGGGAAACACCCCAGCCCTATGCCCACAGCCTTTGGCACAGTTCTGAGGACAGAGAAGACATCTGGTAAGTTTATTCTGGTTGGCTGGTGGTGAAAGCTCTGGGTTGGGCTCCTGTCCTGTGGTGGAGCACACCTTGTAGTTCCTGGTGTGTTTTAGCACGGTGGGATGCCATCTTTTATTTAAACTCTTGGTTAGTTTCCATCTGTAGGATAAAGGAGCCCTCAGTCTTCTTCCTTAGTGTCTCCTTACTCCTTAGTACTCTTGCTTTCGAGGGACTCTTCACCGCAAGGCAAAGGAGAGGAGGGACTAAGGTTAGTGTCCCTTTTCTCTCCCCCTGAATGTTGTGATGTCAGTCTGTGTTCAGGGGCTGCTCCCCCATCCTGCAAGCACAGGTACTGAGAGGTGGGGCCCATGAAAACTGAAAAGGACACAGGGTATCTAAGTGTGTCATGTCTCATCTCCCAAAGGACACCCCCCATGATGTCCTCTTGCAAGATCTGCTCCCATCTTCTAGAAAGCACTCTCAGCTTCTCTTGAACCCTTGCTGTTTTTCAATCTCTGGTTCTCATTATACTTAGATCCTATAGCCCCATTCTCATTTTGGATCCAGGAGGGAAGGGGTGAGTCGGGCATTCTACCAGTCAGTGGCTTTGTGTGCAGTATTCTGTGTAACTTTTACAAAGTTGTTTTTTAAAGAAATATCTCCACTGTACATATGAAATAGTTGATGTTCAGAGGGACTAAATTGCCCCTGCCTAATAATTCTCCACAGTAGATCCTGCTGAATGGATTGTAACCCATCTAACTGCAGTTCAGATTGGCCTTTGGAAGATGGTGGTGGATCTTGGTTCAGATAGAAAGGAAGAGGGTTCAAGGTAAATGTGTTCCACAGCCACACAAACTGAATGGTGGTGAGTGCTTCTCATTGTCCTTGTGAGGGCTGGGTGATCCTGAAGGCCTAAGCATCTCAAGTCACTAACCTCCTACTACCAGAAGCCCATATCCCTGTTCCCATGGGAACTCAGTAGAGCTCATCCCTGGCTGCCTTCTACTGCTCTCTCAGTATACTTAACTATAGATGGGGGACAAAACTGATGTCTCAGAACTCTTTTCTCCTTTTACTCAACAGAGGTAAGAGGTATATATGCCGTCTGAGTAAAGAAAGGATTGTTCAGCAGTAATTTTGAATGAAGCCTCTAGGGTATTCTTGAAAGAGAGACCTCCAGGGGATACAAATGAGTGGAGGTGGGCAATGCCTGGACCATCAGAAGGCTCTGGAAGTAGGTGAGTGAGTGAAAAGGGATTTATTTATTTAATGACAAGGCTCCCAGAGTCTGGCTTTTCAACTAAAAGTCCCTAGAGGTATAACATATTGCTTTTCATCTCTTAACCTACACCTGCCTAACTTGTCTGACATCAGATCTTTAAGTTCCCCAATTTTTGGAAAGAACCTAGGAGACCTTGGGAAGTCATTTTGTAAAATAGAATTGGCCTGAAGGAGGGGCAGAGGGAAGCCAGCAGTCCGTTGCTTAAGTGTTTCCCCACTTTCTGCTGGAACCCTCCACTACCCAGATATCACAGTGGTGTGATTGGATGCAGGATCTAGGATCATTGTCTTTCAATGGGCTATATGAGATGTCTATTAAGTGTTTCCCACAGCTGGGAAAAGCTGCCTTCCCGCCTAAATCCACAAGATGGAAGTTGCTTCCTCTAGCTTTGCCACTAGCAGCAAAGGCTGCTGGTTTTGTGAGTGGCCACTCTGTTCACACTAAGCAGATTTCTAGCATTTCTTCTATTCCATCGCCTTGATATTTAACAATGTATTTTAAAACACACTCCCAAATAAGCTTTTGCTGTTGACCACCTTTTCTTCTTCTTCTTCTTCTTCTTCTTCTTCTTCTTCTTCTTCTTCTTCTTCTTCTTCTTCTTCTTCTTCTTCTTCTTCTTCCTCCTCCTCCTCCTCCTCCTCCTCCTCCTCCTCCTCTTCCTCTGCCTCCTTCTTCTTTTGACAGCATACAAAGTTGATGAGACACGTGTAAACCAGGCCCTAGCACTCCAGGTGAGAGGAGCCTCATGCAAGGCACATGAATGCAAAAGGGATTCAGGGCAGCCGAGGGTGTGTCAGAGAGGAGCATGGAACTAGGGTGCCCAGTGTATGTGGTTTTTATGATCCTGAGAGCACTGGCCACGGTGTGTGCACCGTCTGTCTGCCGCCCTGACACCTCCGTCAGCATCCTCACTTCGCCTTCAACCCTTTCCCAGCCAAACGCTTCTTTTTCGGCGGCGCTTCTAGGCTTTTATTGTAAATTCCGTGATTAAAACACGCTGGTGAGCTGGGCCCCAAAACAGATGGATCAGTTGTCTCCTTCCTGGCTTGGGGAGGAGTCCCCAACCGGAGGGGTCCCCACCCGCAAGCCCTGGGAGCCGGGAGTGGCCAGCAATTCCCTGACTAGCTCTGGGGAGTCCAGGCGATCTCTCTGTGTGGGGTGGGGGTGGCAAGAGGAGGCCTGGGAGTCTGTGTTTTGGGGCATTCCAGTAGGTTGGGGTGCGAACCCAGGCTGGTTCACTGCCTCTGGTTCACTGCCTCGGAGGAGACAGTTGGGACGCCCAGACAAGCTTTTTTTTTTCTGGTCCAGGGCATGAGAGACTAACTAGGAAAGAAATGTCTGGAATGGCTGCAAAGCTGCTGCTTCTCTGTGTGTGTGTGTGTGTGTGTGTGTGTGTGTGTGTGTGTGTGCAAAGCTGCTGGTGTGTGTGTGTTGGGGGGGCGGGTATTGGTAAGAGAGGCGCCAGTGTGCGGTGAAAGTTCCCAAGCTCCGCATGCAGAGCACTCGTGTAGGAGCTCAGAGCTAGACCCAGGCATGCAGGCTGCTCTCCTGCTTGGAGCGCTGGCCTGAAGGTTGTCTTTGGGTACCCTAGTGCCTTTGAGGTGCTGCGCAGGCCGGTTTCCCACGAGGAATACATCATCTTGCATAGAGTGATGCTCTCTTCCAGACCTCCACCAGACCAGGGTTTTTCCTACTGCCCTGCCCCCACGCATCCAGGATGGCTCCCGCACCCGGGCCTCAATGTCCCCCAGCCTTGCTCAGCTTTCCCAGGCTTCCGGAGACCTCTTGGCCATAGAGGTCCAGTGCAGGGGCAGTGGCACTTGGGGGGCACAAGCACTCGTCTAGGAGGAAAGAGACATTGTATGGAGGGGGGGGGCGTGGAGACTTCCTAGGTTTGAGCGTGGACATTAGCCCAGGGCTCCAACAGGTTTCTGGCCAAGGTGGCGGGCTGGTCCCAGGAAGGGCGGGCAGCTGAGCGGAGAAGGCCAGCGGTGGAGCTCACCCCTAGACCAGCGTTCTCTGGCGCCAGCGCCACCTCCGCGTTGCTGCTCCCACCGCTGAACCTCCACCACGGCTGCTGCAGAGTGTCGTTGCTCCGCCGCGCTCCCGCGCTCCGCGCCGCCAGCCGCCAGGGAGCCGGAGCGCCGAGCCCCGGGCAGAGGAGTGGGGCGAGGCGTGAGAGCCTTGGCGAGGGAGCCGTGAAGGGGGAGGGAGCGGGCGGAGGGAGGAGCAGGGAGAGAGGGAGTAGGGAGGGAGAGGCAAGCGAGGGAGAGCGGAGATCGAGAGCAAAGAGCGAGAGCGAGGGAGAGGAGAGGGAGGGAGGAGAGAAAGACACACGCAAGCACAGGCACCCCGGCACTGGAATTCCATTAGAAAAAAGTGAGCCGAGCAAGGGTTAGCGGGAGAAGATATATATTTTCCGTTTTTTTTTTTTTTTCGAATCTTTTTCTTCGTCTTGGTGCCCTCTCGTCTCCTGTCCTAGAAGCTCCTACTGGATTGCTCCTTATCCGTCGGTGGATTTCTTTCCTATTTTCATTTATTTTGACCCCCTCCCTCGTTGCTTTCTTCCAGCCCTTCACTTTTAGATCTCCTCGCCCCCACCTCTCCAGTCCCCTCCTGGGAAGTGCAGGAGAATTGGACCCGCGGGGACTCAACGCCTTCCCGGACGCCCAAAGGGCTGGGCTGACCTCAGGACCAGTCTGTTGGCTTAGAAGGCAGCTAGACACATAGCTACGTGTGTTTGATTTCAGTGGCAAGGGGGAACTCGAGAGGCAGCCCCCCCCCCCCCCCCCAGCCAGCAGCGAGAACCCTAGCACTCGGGATCTTCAACCGGCGGCCCGGCGGGATCTCCGCATTGGATTTGGGGGTCATTATCATTGCTTGGCGATTATTATTATCGTTGTTATTTTATTTTTATTTTTTAAACCTAAGGGAGAAAAGACGCACACACACAAAACTGTGGGATTTATTTAACATGATCTTGGCAAACGCCTTCTGCCTCTTCTTCTTTTTAGGTGAGTACCTGCAGGTGGCGAGTCTGGGGGCCACACCGGGCTGCGCGCGTTCAGGCGCCCGCTGGAAGCTGGGCACGCGGGGGTGGGGTTGGGGGCTTCGAGAAGGGCGCCGTGGTAGACACCGGGAGAGCGCCGTGCTGGGAGACTGGGCCGGGGCTCCGGGGAGGCGAACAGCCCGGGAGGTTCTGAAGGAGGGAGCCGTGTGGTAGCTAGGTGGTTGCGCGGAGGACTGAGAAGGAGACTTCCAACATTCAAACCATCTCCGCACGCACTCACGCGCCGCCGCGCGCGCACACACGCTTACTTGCAGGCGGTGATAACGCTCATTTCCCTCAAAATAATGGGTTCAATTTGCAGCAACTTAGGAAGAAAAAAGAATGCAACTCTTAGTGGGGAAGAAAGGAGGGAGGAGAGAGGCTGGTTAGTAGCTCTCACGCCATCCCCTCCTTTCCTGATTGCAGTCTGAGTCGGTGGGTTTCTGCAGAAAGTCCTGGTTTGGACATTTGTGGGGGAGCCCTTGTAGTCACCTCCCACTTGCCAATCAACCTCAGGAAAGCACCCTATTTCTCCACTCTCGGGAGCACTTTGCAAGTTTCTTCTTACCCATTGCCTCTTTTCCACCTAGACCCAAGCCAGATGGGTAGGCGGAGCACAGGCTTGTAAATGGGTGTATAAGGCCTTCAGAGCAACCGCTCTGGGGCCTGGGGCTAGAGGCGTGGAGGAAGCGGAGGGAGGAGGCCAAACTTTGCTCCTTGGGAAGAAGACGAGTGGGGAGTGTATGCAAAGGGGGAAAACAGATCTTAACAAAGACCACTCACTGCGCATCCATTAAGCCCCCTCCCTCTGTGACAGGTAGGAGTGGCTGCCCAGCGGTTCAGAGCTCCAGCAGATCCTGCCCCTTCCCCTTATACTTTGTAAAATCTTAGCTGCTTGGGAAGCAAGGTCTAGGGATAGGTAGCGATTTCCTCTTGGTGCAGGTGAAGAAGCGATGTTTACAAGGCTGTATGTGGATTCTGTGTTCTCGAAAGTGTGTGTGTGTGTGTGTGTGTGTGTGTGTGATCTGCTTCAGTGCAGGTGCTGTTCTGGGATCATGGCTTGTTGGCAGTCCACAGTGAGCTAGGCTACCAAGCAGAAGGGGCTCTGGATAACCCAGACAGGGAGGTAGACTTTGTTATGGAAGATGTGCATGGTCTAAGAAGTGCCCTCCAGATTGCTCCTGTGGCTTTGTAGCCTGGTACAGTCAGTGTTGGCTGTATCCTGGGCCCTTTGCTTCCTCACAGACTTTCTACCTCCCAGCTATGCATTCCCATGGGACACAGGCCCTGCCCTGGGGTGTGGCCTTCGCTAGGCTGCTTTCTCCCTGTGGTAGTAACCCTGTGAGGTAGGAGGGACCGAGTAGGAGGGTAGAGATGTTCTGGCTCATTTTTACCCTGCAGCCCTTTCCAGCAGCCTTAGGGAAGTGGACTCTCATTTTGAATGAACTGTCACAAAATTTGACCTTTCCTTCATTGATGGTCTAAAAACACAGCTTTCTGGGGCTTAGAATGATCAGAGCCAAGAAGAAAAGAAAATTGCATTTCAGGCAAAACCAACCAGATTGCCTGCTGCTGAATAGTGCCCCGCCATCATCAAGGATGCATGCTTCCAGGTATAGGGTCCTCTCTGAAGGCCAGCAGTAGAGGACAACAGCCCCCTCCAGGATCAGACCGCAAGTTGCCCATGGGGTGTTCTTAGCTGAGGAGGCTGAGGAGTCAGCTCTCCACAGAAGTGGCACTGGGCATCCTGCACATCCTGGGTGTGTATGGGTGTGTGAAAGCAAGCATGTGTGTGGAGTATGAACAGACAGCAGAGCTGTCCACCACTATCCAGGGGTTTGAGATGGGAAGAGAGAAAAATGGGAGAGGAGGGGTTTGCCTGGCATCTCCTTCGGTCATGACTCTTCAGTTCCCTCTCCTTTGAGAAGTCCCTCCCCAAAGCTGTGCAAAGGGCTCAACTGAATGACAGGCTCTGATAGGACAGGATGGATTAGTGTGAAGAAAACTTAAATCCAAAGGCCCCTTTCCTGCCTAGAAGACTATAGTTGGGAACCAGTTGGAAAGTCAGTTGAGAGTGGAAGTTCTTTAGCAGCTTGAGGTTGGCTGGGGCCACAGTGAAGAGAGTCCCCCACCCCAACAAGGGCCTTCAGATGCCTTTTCAAAGGGTTTGAGTGAGATCTAGTGTCGGAGGCTGCAGTGGAGAGAAAGGGCCCTTTAGCCCAGCCATCCAGATTTCTAGTGTTGGCATACATATATGGATAGAATGCAACAGAGACAGTGATGGGAGCTGGGTAGGTAGAGAACCCATCCCCAGTGGCATTCTAGCACACACCTGGCTCTTGAGGGGTACTCTGGATGCTGGAGGGCAATCTGAGCCTCTCTTGTGCTCCCTGGAACAGCTCCACCCACCCTGCCTACTCTTGATAGATCCAAGTTTTCTACCCTCAGGCCAGGAAGCCAGCCCTTTCTTGATTCTTGGCTAGCAGCTTCTGGTTGCTGTGATTCCTTCCTCTGCCTGGGCTTGGTTGCTTCTGGGAGTTTTGAAGCTGAGTCCAAGAGATAAGGACAGTTGGTGAAAGGATGTCCTAGTATCGTGAACATCAGTTGACAGAATGGGGAGGCCCTCGATATTGGCATGAGAGCCAACAGAGGCTTGTGTTAAGGACATCTTGGGGGCTCTGGGCTCAGGTGCAGGACAGGCAGAGAGAGTTGCTTTATCACTGCACTCTCTGGAGCTTCTAGCCTGACTTTAAACCCGTGTGAATTCCGAGTCCTATTCTGAGCTCCCCTCATAGACCTGACTTTAAACCCGTGTGAATTCCGAGTCCTATTCTGAGCTCCCCTCAGACAGTTCAGCCTTTAGCTCAATCAGGTGGAAGGTGAACTCCTACTCAATCCTGGGATGAAGTCAGGACTGGCTGAGAGGCAGACAGGTGCAAGTTGGGGGCATGGTGGTTCAGCTGTTCCTGGGTGGCCCAGAGGCACTAGAGTCGTGTAAAACGGTGTAGGAATCCGCTGAAGTCTAGAAAGAAAACTGCTATCTCAGCTTTTGTGGAGGACACATCTAAGGCTAGCGCCTGGGCAGACCTGGCTTCCAGTAAGTCCTACTCAGTACAGGTTTCTACCTCTTGTTTTGTCTCGGTGTGGTTATATTCTTCCCCTCTTTCTGTTATGGGGCAGGAGTACGGTCAGTGAGAGAAGAAATTTTCCTTTGCTTTAACTGGTGCCTCCTCCATGTGGAGTCCAACTCGCCTTCATCTCCTTTGCTTTTTTCTTGTGGGAAAGGCCTGAGGCCCACGGGAATGATTTCTTTCCTCTCCAGGGGCTCTGGGGAGTGACAGGGTTGCTGTGTGCAGTTCTACCCGTAGGTGTCGCTGTCTCCCTGCAGTAGCTCCCCCATGAGCAGGGCCTCCTAGGGAGAAGGCCTGAGAGTGGCTGGGCAAGCATGGGGTTGGGGGGGGGGGATTCTGCAGTATTCTGAGGAAAGGACCATGGCCTAGAATTTTATTCTGTTTTGGAGTGGGAGGGAGTGGAGGAAGCCTCTCAAATATTCTTTGGGTCTTGCAGAAGGCAGCCTTTGCTCTAGTTAGTGGTAAGGGGCTTTTTTTGCGGTAGGGTCTGGAGTTAGGAGTTTAGGAAGAACAAGGAGACAGAAGATGCTGTCCATATCTGGAGGAAACCATTTTGGGAGCTTGGCTTTGAAAGGGTCTGGCCAGCTTCTCTCTGCCCTTCATGTCCAGTCTTCAAGCCCCTCCCTTCTGAGAATGCTGTGGGAAACAGATAAGAGGAGTGGGTTAAAACCAGCCCAGGCTGGAAGGCAGGGCCTGAAGGAGAGGAGCTCTCTTTTCTGCAATTGATTTAATATTTTGCTTTTGGAAGGAATAAATAAAAAATAGAGAGGGATTTCAGAGTAGTATAGGGAGGAAGGGAAGGAAAAGGGAACTCAAAGGGAAAGGGTGATGAGGTATGTTGAGAACAGAGAGCCCTTGGGAGACAGGAAGCAAGAGAGGATGAGAGATGGACGTGGGAGAAGCAAGTCTCGACAGGGAAGGAACACAAGGGAGAGTAGGTTTGTTCCTGGGCCTTACCCAATGCAGTCTGTTTTGCAGGGGGCTGGGGTGGAACTTGGCCATGCAAGCACTTGGTCAGGCCACTGTCTGGTGAGAAGTTGGCAAATTTGGAAAGGCGAGGCCTACAAGGGGTCTCTGCTTCTCCCTTCTGGGCTTCCTGGGCCACAGAGTTAGGCTTGTTTCTGGTTGTCTTCTAAAAGCCTAGTGATAGGAAATGATGAAACTAAGGGCTGGAGTGGGCTTTTCAGCTTCTCTGTGTGTGACCTTGAGTTGTCTCCCCTCTTTGGACCGGAGCTTCCCTGGAGTATGATATTGAGGCTTGATTCTTGGGTCTCTCTAAGGTCCGGACAGGCTCTGAAGGTTAGTTGACTTTTAGCGCCTTCTAACCAAGGCCTTTGATGGAGCGGAGGTTTGTAGCTTGGGAGTTGAAGGGCGATCACTCTGCATAAACCCTACCACTCCTTGTTGAGGCCATGACATTCTGTCTAGACTGTTGACATCTTAGCCCCCCTGCAAGTTTTTAGTGAAGGCCGTCCTGGATTTACGGTGCTGGGTGCTGTGTTCCACTGCCTAGGATTGTGCTGAGGAGGAATGAATGTGAACCATGGCTGTAGGGGAACATTGCTTACTAGGTTGGGTCTGAGTTGACCTTGGTCTTACTGTACTTTGGTATATAAGTGGGTGAGAAGTTCCTTCAAGCCTTAGGCCTGCCTTGGGGTCCGAGACTGTGGTAGCCCTCATTCATGCTTGTCTTCCCTCCCCACTACCCAGACGAAACCCTCCGCTCTTTGGCCAGCCCTTCCTCCCTGCAGGGCTCTGAGCTCCACGGCTGGCGCCCCCCAGTGGACTGTGTCCGGGCCAATGAGCTGTGTGCGGCTGAATCCAACTGCAGCTCCAGGTACCGCACCCTTCGGCAGTGCCTGGCAGGCCGGGATCGAAATACCATGCTGGCCAATAAGGAGTGCCAGGCGGCCCTGGAGGTCTTGCAGGAAAGCCCACTGTATGACTGTCGCTGCAAGCGGGGCATGAAGAAGGAGCTGCAGTGTCTGCAGATCTACTGGAGCATCCATCTGGGGCTGACCGAGGGTAAGCCTGGGTGGGCCCCAAGGAAGGGCGGTGGTGGGTAAGGGATGTATCCAGCCAGGGGTTCAGAAGGGAGGACTTGGTAGAAGGGTAACCTGATTTGTTCCCCATTTTATCCACAAGAGTAGCTAGAATCGAGAGGAAGTAGCTACTCCTCCTAGGAGGACAATGGTGATCCAGAAAGGGAAACCACAAGGGTGGAGGATGAGCTGGATGATGGGATGCCAGCCAGGGCAGCATGAAGCTGTGCCCAGGAGAGGGAAGGGGCACAGTCAGAGAGAGAGAGAACAGGAGGTACCAGACCCTGCCACTGGGATGCCCTGTTACCTGGAGCTGAGCCCAGAACCTCGCTCTCTTCAGGTGGTCTTTGGATCCAACGGCTGACCTAGGCACTTTATACAGAGTTTAGGAGCTCAGGATGGGACAGGAGCAAAAGGTCCTATGTCTCTAGGCAATCTCTCCTCAAGTATGCCCAAGGCAGAAACTGAGAGCCTCTCCCCCAGGGACACCTCCTCACTACTCCTCAGTCCAGACAGGGCCTTGGGGTTTGCATACACTTCAGGATGACTGGTCACCTCGGCGAGATGTTCATTTACTAATTCAGCAAACATTTATTGAGAGCGCATTGTTGCTTTGTGTTACTGGAATAGTATAGAATCTGGCATTGTCTTTGCCTTCATGGAACTTACAGTCTGGGATGGAGTGTAGAAAGGAAGGGGGAAGTTGCTGTTTGAAGGCATAACTGTTGTGATGGAAAGGCCCAGGGCATAGTAGGAGCACCTCAGAACATCTAAGCCAGTGTTACAAAAAACCTGAAGAGCCTTCTGGGAAGATGCTGTCTCTAGGCTGGGGTGGAGTCACCACCCAGGGGAAGGATGTAATAAGAGTGGGCAGGTGGAGGGAGAAGCATGTTAAGGTCAGGCCTGAGAGTTGAATCTTCATGAAGAACTGCAAGTAACCTGACAGCTATAGTGTAGAATGGAAGGGTTGAGGCTAGCTAGGAGGAAAGAGACCTGATGGGCCACAGGAAGCAAGCCTGAATGGTTTTAATTCAGATTTCCAGGGAGCTAATCAGATTGATACTCCAGAAAAATGTCCATGTAGTTGTAGGGAAAACAGTCAGTTGTAGGGATTGTGACCCCAGGCAGGGATAATGGCAGGAACAGGACAGAGCGACCAAGGGGAAGAGAGATGTAAGTGCTTCTGAACAAGGTAGAATCAACAGGTTTTGGTAACTACTGCCAATGAGATGGGAAGGGAAAGAGTGGCCAAGGAAGACCTCCCAGCTTCCTGTGCCTGCAATGGCTTTGAGTAGAAGAAGGCAGGGATTATGGACACGCCCTGCAGACATGCAGGCATGGAGCTCAGGGGAGGGTATGGTTCTAGAAAAATCTGGAGTTTTCATGAGCCTATGTTTAAAAGTTGGAGCTAAGACAGTGGGTGCAACCACAGAATGAGGGAGGTGAAAGAGCTCCTGGACCGTGGTCGTTAAAGGACAGGTGAGGGAAGGGAGTGTGCACAGGTGATTGAGAAACTTCTAGAAGCGGATTGGGAGGACCATCAGGGAAACAGGAGACTCTCAACAGCTCACACATTTCAGGTCAAGCAGGAGACTGCTGTATTCCTGCTGTCACTTGGGTAAGCCTCCTAGGTGGCTTCTGGGGACAGAGCCCTGGTTAGGGAGTGAATGGAGGCAGAGGATTGGAATGATAATATGGATAACTTCTTCCAGAGGCTTTGCGTGTGTGTGTGTGTGTGTGTGTAGAGAACAGAAGGATGACCTATTTTCTCCTTTAAAGTTGAGAGAAGGTGGGACCCTCTAAATCCCAAAGGAGGATGGGAGTGATGGAGATGCTGGGGAAGACAACAGGAAGGTTCTCTGTGCATTTGTGTCTCTGGAGGTGAGGACAGGGGATGGGTCCAGGGACAGAGCTGGCCCATTAGTCTAAGATGAGAGAAAGTTCCTTTGCAGGGTACCACAAGGGAAAGGTGAAAGGAGGGAGAGTCCAGCTGTAGCAGTAGAGTCCTAAGAGAGGGATCCCCAACCGTCACCAAGGTAGCTCAGATATGCTCTGAACACATGGAGAGGAAGAACATGCTTTTAGTAATGATATTCCTGCCATTAAGAACAGAGTGATTCCGTAGGCATTAGGTGACCACTTCTCTCTAGCAACTCCATTCCTGGAGCTGGAAGCACCAAGAAGGCAAGGCTGACCTAACACACATGTACTTATCCACATATGAGGAACTGTATACCCGGTGGTCTGCCTCGGGCATGCACATCATAAAAATCTCCTGCTTCTGGGAATGCGTAGTTTTGCCATTTGTTTTCAGTTTTTACTATTTTTATTATGTGCAGGTGTGTATGTCTGATGTGGTTATGACAATGTGAGTGCAGGTACCCATGGAAGCCAAAAGCATAGGATTCTCTGGAATTAAGAGTTACAAACAGTTGTGAGCCAGCTGGGGAATGAACTTAGGCTTCAGACAGCTGGTAGAGCTGGGCTAGCTTGGGTTGCATAGCAGCAGATAGGAGGTGATAGAATTGACTAGAAGTGCCATGGGCTGATTGGATTTCTTAGCAGGAGTAGTTCTATCACCTTGGTGGCTCCCTTTGGCATTGCCATGCCAGGGTACAGGAGAATCTGTGATCACAAGCAGGAGGAATGAGGCATTTCTGTGTGGCAGCAGCAGTGAGCACAATGCTGTATTTGTCACTATCATGGGATCTTCAAGGCCCCTTTGGACTTAGAATACCTCACTGCACATAGCTGTCTCTGGTTCCATGTCTTGAGATGACTTTTATGTTCTTTTACTCAATGACCACCTGTTAACACTACTGTATGCCTCAAAGGGTATTGGCCCCACAGAAACTGTACAACCTATGCTTGCCATGGGAGTGTTACAGAAATACATTCCACTTGCCGCTTTCTACAGATGCTTGCTGCTTCTCTCTTAAGAGGCTACCTCTTCTCCTAGTCTCAGGGCTAGATATTTACTGTTCAGGATTCATCAGGAGAATCCAGGAGGCCTTTGAGCAGGAGGTTATATCCCTTTGAGTGATAAGGTCTGCCCAAGAGTTAATAATTCATAGTAAGGTTGAGCCATTTCCCTGTTGGAGGCTGTAGGCATCTTCTCCCTACACCTTAATAATAAATACTTAGTAGTTGAGCTGGGTCTGGGACTCGTGGGAGGGCAAGACCCACTGAGAGAGGAGGGATTGGGGGGGAATGTGGTACCTTCCTTTAATTCTTGGTTTCCTTCTGACCCCAAGGTGGGTGGGACTTACCCAGATTTTTGATTCCTCCACCCAACTCCAGGACCCCACACCTGTAGCAGGAGCTAAGGTGGCACTGGAAGAAGGAGAGCCAGCGTGACATGGCCTCTGAAGAGGTAGCCACTGAGTTTAGGGAGTCAGAACTGTATGTGACCCATTAACCCTGTTTGTAAGGGAAGCTGAGTCACGGGGTAGAAGGACTGTCCAGGGCACACAGCAAGCTGGTGGTTGAACCCAGCGTCCTTACACCATATCCATGTTTCTTTTGGCTGTGCTGAGCGTGATCCTGTGGCTGGGAAAGGGGTGTGAGGTCTCTTTTTTTTCCCTGTCATGACAACTGTATGGGCACAGTGGGGATGTTACCATTGGCTGCTCCAAAGGTGACCCTGAAATTCAGAGTCCCTGATCTTTAAACCACAAAGAGCAAAGGCTCACCCCATGTGCCAGTTCCCAGGATCTGCATCCTGGATCTGGCTTCAGCAGTGTCTCAGGCTTGCCCTTTCCTGCAGAATTAGAGAGAGAGAGAGAGAGAGAGAGAGAGAGAGAGAGAGAGACAGAGGACCCCTGGGTAGCCAGTGGTGAGGACTGCCCTGCAAGCAGACATAGGGCCTTGTCTCCTACAGTTGGGCAAGAGGGGCAGTTGGACAGTGCTGGGGAGCAGCCCAGGGGCAGCAGGGCTCTGACCACAGGGTATACTGAAGAGCCACATGGTACTTGGGAGAGTGTAGAAAGTGAGAGAGCATTGCTCTCTAGCACCATCACCCTGGGATCAAAGTCAGGCTCTGCAGCTTGTTAGGCAATGAAACCAAGTCGCTTAGGAGCAAGTTCCTTCTCTCTGTGCCCTTTGCTCCTTGCCAGCACAGTAGGGGAGCAATAGCGCCTAACTCACAGAGCAGCAAAGAAGAGTTAGTGTGTCTGAAATATGCTTGGGGCTGTGGCCATGGAGATCGTGCACTCCAACTTTATTATTATTTTTTATTTAAATTAGAAACAAGCTTCTTTTACATGTCAATCTCAGTTCCCTCTCCCCCCTCCACCCCTGCCCCCCACCCATCCCCTATCCCAACCCCTTTCTGCTCCCCAGGGAGGGTTAGAACTTCCATGGGGGATCTTCAAAGCCTGTCATATCATTTGGAGCAGGGCATAGACCCTCCCCAGTGTGTCTAGGCTGGGAGAGTATCCCTCTATGTGGAGAGAGCTCCCAAAGTTCATTTGTGTGCTAGGGGTAAATACTGATCCACTGCCAGAGGTCCCATAGATTGTCCAGACCTCCAAACTGACTTCCTTCTTCAGGGTTGTCTGGAACAGTCCTATGCTGGTTTCCCAGCTATCAGTCTGGGGTCCATGAGCAGCCCCTTGTCAGGTCAGCCCTAACAGCAATTCTCAAGTTCTTACATTATTTGGCTTTGATATGTGGCAGCGCCTAGGGGCCCATCCTCAGGGGTCTCCCAGGAGAGAGTAAGTCAAGTCTCAGTGGGTGCAATGGATGGCACTTAGACCATGAGAGGCAATGGATGAAGCTGCGAGCAGATTCTAGTGGGGTACACACGTGTGTGCTGGGTGCTGCCTGGCACACAGCATTTCCTATGAGGTAAAATGCAGCTAGAACTCGTCAACAGGAGGGAGCGAACTTCCGCACTGTCCTTTAGGCATCTTTGCCCAAGGTTGCAGGTACCTTCTCTAGGGAGGAACGTACTCAGGGCTATGAACCATTCCAGGGCTAGCTGGATCTCCAGTCCTGGTTCTCTATGACCTCCTGGGCCAGATGAAGGAAGCTCTTAGCAGGGGTAGTCTCTGCTCCCTCTTCTAGGGAAATCCTTCATAGATGCTGCTCACCCAGGCTCTCTGTAGGCAAAGGTGCTGCCTGTGGCACCAGGCCCTGCTGGATAGGAAATCAATGCATGAGGCTGTGGGTCACCCCCTGTCTGCCCCTCCCCATCACCACACACTCAGTCTGAGCGAGTTTGCATTGATTTCTCCTCACTGGTCAGCTCTCCTGGGGATAGCTGCTTTCTTGCAAGGTGTCCGCAGAGGGTATGGGATTCTTGATAATGTGGTGGTGGTGGTGGGGTCTCATGAGCATCCTGAGCCATTTATTTCCTGCCATTCTCTTGCTTTTCTACTACAAGTCTCTGATCTCCTCTGAAACTCTGAGGAGGCACATGAGGTAACAGGTAGTGGAGAGGTTAGAAGGGTGTCTGTTAGAGGTCAGGGAAGGAGGAGCATGAGGTCAGTCAGACCATTCACCTAGTGACTTTTAAACTCCCTAGTGAGACTCTTTTTGGTGACATGATGTGAGTCAAGGGGGAAATTCTGAATGTGGGTCTCTAGAAGACCACTTGAGCCCCAAGTCTGCCACACAAAGCTGGTGACACCTCCACTCCCAGGCGCTACACTGCTGGGCTACCCAAGAGCCTTCTCTTGTGAAACAAGGAAGGTGGACTATAAATTTTAGTAGGACCTCTGTCTCCAGATTCTGTGATTTGCACTTGACCTTTGGTTGGGGGGGTTATTGTTCCTCCCTTTCTCCTGTAAAGAGGGTTTGTCCTCCAGGGAAGTCACATGGCAGGCAGTCCTACCTGCTCTAATTGGTGAGAAATAACTTGTCTCTACACAACGAACTCTTACCCCTAACTTGCCTGCATAGCATTTTCACCTTGGCAAGGGCTGGCCTCTCTCACATCCTACATGACCCAGTGTGTTAGTGGAACTTTCTTAGGCATGGTTACTGTCTGATGGGAGTGTTTTACTGGAGAGGAGCCTGTGTCTCATGCCCCGTCTCTCTTCCAGGTGGGGAGTTCTACGAAGCTTCCCCCTATGAGCCAGTGACCTCACGCCTCTCGGACATCTTCAGGCTTGCTTCAATCTTCTCAGGTAAGTGACCCTCGCTGGTGCTTGACCCGTTTTTTTTTCCCTCTCATCTCTGTGGTGTGGCCCATTCATCTCTTGGACTCAGGTGTCTTTCCTGGTCTTCTGTTGACTCCACTCTTCTCCTGTCTGCTCCTTGATGTTTGAGCCTTGGCTCTTGGCTTTTAGGAAGCTACCTGGCCTCCCTCCTTCAGCAGCATCTGGAGTTCAGCATTTGTGTGGCTCCTTGCTGGTCAGTCATGGATAGATCTTGAATCTGAAACCTGTGCCACTCTGCTGTTTCGTCACCCATCTTATCCCTGTTTCTCTTTCTACTTCTCTGACTCTTCTGTTTGACACTTTCCTTGGTCAGGTTGCTTACCAACCTCTTTGTGCCTCAGTTTCCTTGCTTGTGAGTGCGGAAGCCCCTGTCTGCTTGGGTTAGTAGTGAGTCAGTGGATTGTAAAGCACATGGTATGCAGAAGGATTCTTTTGTGTTTTCTGGAAATAACTGCATGTGTTTGTTGGCATAGATTTAGGCTCTTTAACTGTAAATATCCAAACCCAACATTGCTCTACAATGTTTAGTACTGAGAGGGTACTGCAGGGGTAAACTCTACAACTGACCTTAGGAGATAGGACAAAGTGAAAAAGCGGGCATACTGAAAGTATCATGTAAGATTCCCTTCAGGCTGTGTGTATCAAATATGCATGAAACAAACCAATTTTGTGTTTGGGTCCCATCTCTACGACATCTCATTATGAACATGCAAATATCCCCAAACTGGTGACCATCTGAAATACTGAGTATGTCTGGTCCTTAGCAGTTCAGATAAGTGGTACTCAGCTATATTAGTGTCACCATTATCCAGTCTGCTCTAGGCTTTCTTTCCACTGTTTAAGGCACCAGAGAGGCATCTGAGGTAAGAATCACCTGCTCCTGGGTGATTTCCTTTAGGAATGAGAAAGACTACACTGGGTTCTTGCTTTGCTTGGTGGGCATATGTGTGAGAACGAAATAAGGGCAGAGGAGTGATTTAGCCAGTCAAGCACATGCTTTGCAAGCATGAAGACCTGTAACAATAAGTCTTTCCCCGAAGAAGCCACCCGAGCCCTGCCGCCACATGGGCACTTTTTGCCAGGCCACTGAGTTTCGCCCGCCACCACATTAAGGTTCCAAATAACATACAGAGACTTATATTAGGTACAAATGCTGCTTGGCCAATGACTAGGATTTCTCATCAGCTAGCTCAATCTTAATTATCATAAATCTATATATTTTATAAGACTTATCTTATTGGATGCCAGCAGAAGAGTCCTGTATTCCCAGGCTCACATGGTGACTCTGCAACAGAGACCAGGAGGAAGAGAAAAGGTTTAATGTAAAGTTACAGGTTATGATATCTTTATTCAAATAATACCAGCCAAGCACAAGCCAGAGCGTACCCAGAGGCAGCAAGCTAGGGAGGCCAGAGAGCAGGCTCCCTATGTGTCTGCTGCCCCTTAAGAACTCCCCATTCGTTATCCTGAACCTCCCCTGACTACACCCTAACAGGCGTAGTCAAGCACACCTGTAGCTAGCTCCTAGGAGGTGTGGCTACAGTGTCTCCCTCCAAAAAAAGGATGACTTCCTTCTTGCCCTTGCTTATATATGAGTCTCCCTGCTATGTCACTTCCTGCCTGGATCACCACTTCTTTACTACATTTCCCAGAATCCTCCTTGACTCCTAGTACTGCCTAACTTGTTGCCTCATTGGCCAAACAGTACTTTATTTATCATCCAATAAGACAAACACATACACAGAAGTACTTCCCCTATCAAAGGCCCGTGTTTGATGCTCAGCACCCATGTAAAAATGCTTAGCATGGTGGTGCAAACTTGTAGTCCCAGGGCTGGAGAAGTGGAGGCAGAAGGATCCCTGAGGCTTGCTGACCTGCCATCCCAGCCTAATTGGTGAGCTCCAGGCCAGTAAGAAACCCCATCCCCAAGAAGGTGGATGGGATATCTGAGGATGATGTCTAACATTATCCTGTGGCCTCTATATGCACATATACCTGTACATAGTAAACACACATGTACACACTTGTACATGCATGAATGTTCATGCACACACACATATATTAAAAACATTACAAGAAAGGGCTACCAAGTTCTGACTATTAGGAATAATGCTGCTGTGAGTATAGTTGAACAAATGTCCTTGTGGTGTGAGTGTGCCTCCTTTGGGTGGGTGTATGCCCAAGAGTGGTATTGTAGGATCTTGACGTATGTTGATTTCTAATTTTGTGAGAAACCACCATACTTATTTCCAAAGCAGCTGTACACCAGCAATGGAGGAGTGTTCCCCTTTCTCCACATCTTCTCCAGCATAAGCTGCCATTGGTGTTTTTGATCTTAGCCATTCTGACAGGTGTAAGATGGAATCTCAGAGTTGTTTTGATTTGCATTTCCCTGATGACTAAGGATGTTGAGCATTTCCTTGAGTGTCTTTCCTTCATTTGAGATTGTTCTGTTGAGAATTCTCTGTTTAGATCTGTACCCCATTTTTATATTGGATTATTTGGTAGTTTGGTGTCAAGTTTCTTGAGTTCTTTGTATATTTTGGAGATCAGCCCTTTGTCAGATGTGGGCTTGCTGAAGGTCTTTTCCCATTCTGTAGGCTGCTGTTTTGTCTTATTGACCATGTTCGTTGCTTTACAGAAGCTTGTCAGTTTCAGGAGGTCCCATTTATTAATTGTTGCTCTCGGTGTCTGTGCCACTAATGTTCTATTTATGAAGTTGTCTCGTGTACCTATGCATTTAAGGGTATTTCTCACTTTCTCTCCTCCTATGTGGTTCAGTGTGGATGGATTTAGATTAAGGTTTTTGATCCATCTAGACTTGAGTTTTGTGCATAGTGAGAGATACGGATCTATTTGCATTCTTCTATATGTCAACAGCCAGTTATACCAGCACCATTTGTTGAAGATACTTTTTTTTCTATTGTATAATTTTAGATTCCTTTGTAAAAAATCAGCTCTTCATAGGTCCGTGGGTTAATATCAGGGTCTTCATTTCGATTCCATTGTTTCTCAATTTTCTTTTGTTATTATCCCTCTAAGGAGGGAAGAACAATTCCTTTAGGCAGAGAAATTAAATACATAGAAATAAAGTTTGTGTCACAGGGTTGAGTTTTGGATGGTGATCAGCTGCTTGGAATGTCTGTTTATTTTTATGCACCTGAAGACCAGATTGCCACTTTGACATGATATCTTCACTTCCATCTGAGGATGCCACCTTTAGATGATCCTGAGGAGGTGTGGGATATGTGTCCCTGGTGGGAGAGATCCTGGACTCTCACAAGAAGTGAGACATCGACCAGTGTGTTGGTTGTGTTCTGTTCTTATACAAAAATACTTGGTGTCATCAGCTTACAGAGGAAAGGCTCACTCTGGCTCACAGGGTCTGAGGTGTTAGTTCATGACTGGTTCACTTGCTGCTGGGCACCCACGGCAGTACATTGTGATGGCTGTGACATGGAGCTAAACTGTTCAGTTCATATCTGAGAATGAAATAGAAGAAAAGACAGAGATCAGGATTCCATAGTCCCTTTGAGGGCACACTCTATGTTCTAAAGACCTCCCACTAGGTCCCACCTCTTAAAGTTTCTGCTTCCTGTCATAGTGCTAACTTGGGGACCAAGCCCTTCATGTATGAGCATTTGGGGCCATTTAAGGTTAAAACTATAGAGCTAGGCACAGTGGCACACACTTTTAATTGTAACACCCAGGAGACAGAAGCAGAATTGCTAGTTTGAGGCCAGCCTGGTCTACATAGTAAGTTTAAGGGCATCCTAGGCTAACAGAATGAGGCTGAATCTCAAAACAATGAAAACCACAAAGTACTCAAACTATAGTAGCCAGAAATCAGTCATTTGGATGTGGTCTTGGGCCCTTGTGGTGATTGGGAATGGTAGAAGTAGGTAGATGGAGATCTCAAAGCAGGCCAGTTACAACACTCTGCCTTTGGCTCCCACTACTGTAGGCTCCCCAGGAGGATCTCACCCAACAGTAGCTTTGTGTTTAGATCAGGCTTCCTTCTGGCTTTGCCTGTAGGTACAATGATAACTATCTTACAAAATTTGGCCATCCTATGTTGCTGAATTGTATGATTGACTACCAAGGCCCCTTCCAACTGATGTTCTGACTTCCACAGTTTCTGATTAGAGCATAAATCCTCTATGGATTGGTCATTCTGAGATTGTGCTCTGAGGCTCACATATAGGATGAGGACATTGTTGGCATAGTCTGCTGTGGTGGGGATATACTGAACTTCTAAATACACCCAATGAGCCTGCTACCCATTGATCAGATGCCAGCTGATGGCTACAGTGCAGACAGGTGCTTTTTAGGTTTTCTCTGTGAGTGCTGGAGGTTCAAGGTCCTCATCTTAACCCTGGCTCCTTCCTGGATTCAGCCCTTGAGTATTTTCCTAGCAGGAAATCTTCATGTAATAGATGCTTGGACACTCTGTGGGACATGGGTGTTGACAAGACAAATGAGGAGATCACTGGAAGTGCAGCTTACAGAGCCAGCATCTGCTACTTGATGCTGCCTGCTGGCCCTGATCACTTGGGCCAGATATAGCTCTGAAACCGTCTTCCAGTTGACTGCCCTCCATAAGGGCTAGGCATCAGATGCTATGGTCCTCCATTATAGTTTGGGTGTGACATGTCCTCTGTAGGCTAATGTGTTTGAAGCCTGGTGGTATTTGTATTTTAAGAGGTTGCAGAGCCTTATGGATAGCATGGCTAGTGGAGGAAGTCATTCTAGGTTGGCCTGCTTATAATCTAGCCCTGCTTCCAGCCCTGGCGCCCAGACTTCTGACCCAAGCTATAGGAAACCCGTTACTACAAGCTTAAATTTTTATATACCAACCTACCCCAACCACCATACATGTTCTGCCATGATGGATTGTGTCCTCTCAAACCATAAGCCAGAATAAACCTGTTTTCCTTTGAGTGGCTTCTCAGGTATTTGGCCATGAT